ACACCCTCCTAACCCATACCCCTGGTAACCCATAAACTCCGAAAACCCATAGGATTTTGGCTTTCCCAAGTCGGGATAGGGGGAATTCGACCCCATAACCCATAGGTCCCCAATACCCCATAACCCATAGCCTTCTAGGGCTCAAAACCCATACGGTAATAGTGGTCACACTGAGATTTTGCTCATCAATAACCCACAAAATACTTGACACATTCTTCCCAGTGTCCTCCCAGTGTCCATCCACGCTTCGACCATGTTGTGGGTAGGTTAGTGTGTTCGAAATCCCATAGCGCTCCCTCAAAGGGTCAGTAGACGCCTGTTCAGCCCTCGCTAACTGGGACTTATCAGGGCGCTTATGAGGCGCTAAAGTTCTGGTAGCCCATAACCCCTCAAAACCCAAAACCCATATATTTGGGCCTGTCCCGAGGGCTATGGGTTAAGAGGGTGTCGACTGTAGACCGCTGAGATTAAGTTCCTGAGTGTATGCTCATTTCACAATTCTGACCGGGGCTAATGTCGTCTTCGCAACGGGCCTGAGGAAATTGCCGGAGATCAAGTCCACGAGGCGGAACTGAGAATCGCGGCCACCGATCGTTGCGTCTGCAGAATCCAGATGGGTGGACCGCGGTCCGCATTCCGAATGATACGGCGGCCATCGGCGCAAGCAGCCGAACACGAGGCAAGCGCTCACACTCGTAAGCTTCGCGTTCTCACCGAGGTCGCCGAGGTCGCCATTGTCAGTATCTTCTTCTCGTTCTTGCTGCGCTACCTTAGACTGACGAGGTGTCGTCTTGTGAGTTTTTTGGTCTTAATACAGAATGGCCGCTGTTCCAGCAACGACCTCCCCAGGGCCGTTGCCAGCCTTCCCCGCACGCCTCTCGCGGCCCTCGCAGTTCCACTTCCGTACGGGACAACTTCTTGAGGGATGATTTTACCATATGTTGAGGGCGAAGTGAGAAGTCAAGAAGGGTCAGGAATTGGCTGGTCATGCACACCAAGTGAGTCAGGCGTCTCCAGCGCATTCGTGTACTTCGATTACTCCTGGGACGAATCCTGGCGACGGTCTCCCCACATAAAACCGCTCCCACCGATCCGTCTACGGCATCTCATCCCTCCTTCACACCATGTCTTACAATGACCCTGCCAGGGGTCTCCCAACCCATCCCACACAAGCCCTAGATTTTTCCGAGGACGTACCACGCTACACGGCAGGGGAACTCGCCTCTCGCCTTCTGCGCCTTGCCGAATCGCATGAGCCAGGTATGTTTCCTTTCTAGTTTTCATGCCTTTTCGGTGTACTGACATGAGCAGTCGAGGGGGCCAACAGCGCTGCGCGCTCAGTTTGCACAGACTGTCTCCGGATGGCCATCGGCAGTGAGCGCAGCTTCCTGCCGTAGCGATGGATTCCATTAACAACCGCGTTTATAGGGAGTGCTTGTCCCCACGGGTGTTTCCCCCGCGATCGACGTGAGCGTCCTCTGCTTTTGTACCGGGGAGAGCTTTTGGCCGCTGGAGTCACTCCGGATCAAATTGCTGCACTTGTGGTAAGCTATCTTTCGAAAATCTGGATGCAGTAACCGGTCTTCCTATGCTCACCGTGTTACCCAGGGCCCCAGACCCTCTGTCGCTGCTCCTGGTTCGTCGGGTAGCGTTGGCCCCGGTCACTCGTCGTCAGCTTACAATGTTTGTGCTCGGGGTCATTCTCATCGCTCGACCAATGGTGTCGCTCAGTGCGACCAGAGCCTGCGTGGCCCAGCGTCCCCAGCGCCCCCCGTTTCCTCAGTATCCGCTATAGCTTCCTCCGCCACTATGGCATCGGGTTCGTCTGGAGTAACGTATTTACCTGTCACCCCAACGCGTTCGCACTCGGGCTTGTCGAGCGCTCGCGCCACTGCTCGGCAGGCGGCTCCGGCTGGGGCACCTGCTGTCGCTGCCGCTCCGGGGGATCCTCCCGCACTTGGTTACGAATACGAGCCACACTTTGACCAGTACAACGCTGACATCAAGACTTGGTATGTTGTCGTCGCGGGTCGAAGTGTTGGAGTGTTCGGGAACATGTGAGTAGATACATTGCATCCGGAATCTGTGACATTTGACGACGTGTGACCCAGCGTTGACATGATTAGTGCCACCAGTGGCGTGTCCAAAAACTACCAATTTAGTCGTAACAACTATCAAGATGCTATTGAGGCTTTTCGTAAGGCTCAGCACAAGGGCGAAGTGCGGACGCGCCAGTAGACCCGTCGGAGTTGCCCCGGATAGGTAAGGTCATGTTCAGTTTTGACGCTAGCTGTACTTGTCTGTAAAGATTGTCGTGGTCGTGCGTATGCCTTTCATACAACATCGTGCTTCCATATCTTGTATCTCGCCTCCATGATTATATATATCGCAAGCGCGGAGTCGAATGCATCATCGGCTGTAACCCGAATCGCTCTCCCCACTCCTATACTCTTATCACTACAATGGGGCGACGTGCAAAGTACATGACCGAGTCGGAACAGCAGGCGGCAAAGCGAGCGCAACATGCGCGTTATGATCAGAGTTTGCGGTACTTAAGGCTCAATCAATGCCTGCTGGTGAAGTATTAAGAAGAGTCATCGGAACAGGGGAAAGTTGACTCGAAAAGCACGTGGTGGCAGTGGACCCAAGGAAACGACTACCGATGTTTCAACCGCAGCGATTCATACATAGCCCCGTGGAGGTCCATGAAAATACTCAGCTCCCCGACGGCCTACGTTTACGAGCCGCAGCGCCGTTCATGTTTTTGTTTGGTTTCACCAGTAAATGCAATCCCCCCAGCGCGATGCGACGCAAGCCCATATCAGGTAGAAAAATCTAATGTAAGGCGCTTAGTTCAAGAACATCCAGCGCTGCGCGAAGAGGACCCGCCATTCGTGCTCCCTTCCCTCCCTTGCTGCGCTCGGGGGGTCCCCCGAGCCGGGAGCACTCAGGCGTGCACACTAAAGCCTCGTTCATGCGAAAATAGACCGGCGCTGGGGGGATTGCATTCACTGGTTTCACCGGTGACAGTGGTCCCGATTTCGGGCTCAATACGCCGCCTCATCGTTTCGAACATCCAGTCCCTCAAGGCTTACGGGACCTAGAGGATTTGGACGGGCCGGAAACTCTCATTGTCAGATTGCACACGTTACAGTACACATGGATGGTTGAAGCTGGTTACCGGAGAGGATCGGAGTGGTTATCGAAGGACACAGACGAGATCACGATACATGGCGAAAACGAGATTCAATGCAGGCTCGAGGGGTGGAACATCAGCAAAAGTGCAAAAGTTTGAAACAGATGCTTGCAGCAGAGGCGGGAGGATGTCCAGAGCATGGAAGGAAGCTCGCGGAAATAGCCATTGATTGGGGCGCCCAGTGGATAGAGGGTCTAGTGGATGAGCTGGAGATCAGGTGCAGGGGGAGGGATGAGTACGAAGCGGCAAATAGGCGGACTGCTTTGCCCTGGCAGGTCATGATACGCTTTGCGAGGAAACACTACGGAGTGTCATATGTATCAGACGATGAAGCAGCATCGGAGTAATGTACCGGTCGTGTTACTTGTTCATTGGGCTACGTTAAGCCCGGACGATCTAACAACATATACTATACCGGGCGTTGAGAGCTTCCGGCGGTGCAATCGGCAGGTCGTCGTCCTCGGCACGCACTGCCCCATGCACCGGACCTGCGAGAGCGGCCTCTATGCGGGCCCGAAGGTCGAAATCTGGCGGCGCTTCAATTGGCGTACCAAAAGGAGCCACAGTTGCCCAGGGGGAAAAGGGCTGGCGGCTCCGTGTCTGTTGCATTGCTGAAGTCAAACCAGCATTGTTACGTAGAAGGCGCTGGCGCCTACCTGGCGGAATGGCGACTGGCTCGGAACAAGTGGACCTGCGCCGTACGCCAAGCAGCATCAGCGCGGACATCTTAGCGATACGCCGAGCACCGCGCGCCAGAGAGACGGGAAACGAGGGGTTTGCGCGCGCTCTCCCTGACACGCAGCACTGACAAAATGCCTCTCACCTTGCGGCGCCATGCTGCACTTCTCGTATATCAACCTGCGAATAGAAATTCGTATGAGAGGCGGGAGAGATACGCTAAC